ATAACCCAATACTACTTTGTGTTTTTGCCCAAATTATTTCAATTTTGGCCCCCCGGAGCTGGTTAGTTGACTCCTGTGTCCCTTTGATATACCCAATCAATGTGGGTTTTGAGTCAGCATTTTTAAAAAGCTCCCAAGTGATTCTGGTGCAGGTGGTCCAAGGACTGCATGGCCTCAGGGTGTACCATGAGCTCTGCCACCTGCAGAATCCCACCCATTCACTGATTTCTTCAGCAAGAGGTAAAGAATAACCCCTCTGTCTACTGTACCCATTCAGCAAACACCTACTAATGTCATCTCCCTGCCTCCTCTCTGCCAGGCACTGTGCTAGATTGTGGAAATGTAGAGCTTGTCTGGGAGTTCAGACTCGAGTAGACACGCTCCGGGGAAACATGGATGTGTTTAACAAGAGAGAGGACAAGCATGTCTGCCAGCCCTCTCACCTGTGCTTAGCTTCCCAGAGTGCTTTTCCATAGAAAAGAGCATATTAAGAATGGAGAGCAGAATAGGGGACATTAGAGGGGTTGGGCTCAAAGGCACCTATTTAATTTGGAATTAAACAGGAAGAAGATGCTTTATCCTCTGATACTGGAGAAAAGGAAATTGGCTCTAGAAATTTTTACAGATTGGTTGGTGTTGGGGGAGGCACGTTTGGGGTCACCTCACAAGCTTTAATTTTCTGGAGGATTCAGGAGGCCGGGTCCTCCTTACCAGAGGGAAGGGTCTGGAAACACGGGGCCCGGAAGGCAATTAAAGTTTTGAACTCGCTGTTTTGTGGGGGGAGGGAGGGGACATTGGTTGCAATCCAGTCAGAAGACAAAACCACAGCCATAACTTGAGAAGAGAGAATGAAAAATAGGCTTGTTAACCTACTCCAGGACAACTCCGAGATATCACAGAGGAGGCAGGTACCACCTCACCCCTCAGGCTACACAAAGGAAGGAAAGTGGTTGGAGTAATTAAAACCTTACTGCTTGGAGGAGTGCTCCCAGCCCTCAGAGGAGGGTGTACTGGCCAGTTGGTGATGGCTAGGAGCACTCAAACTGCCTCTGCACACGTTGGAGCCCCTGGAAACCGGATTTGGCTGCTCCTACAGGAAGGAAGTGCCCCTTCTGGGTGGAGAGGCATTTGCTGGACAACCACAAACAGAAAGGGGGTCACAGGACCCTCCTTCCTCTAGTCTTGCAGCCTTCCCGTAGCACCTCTAATTGGTAGAGCCCAATGTGTGGTTTGCAGGGTCTCAGCCTAGCATCACGAAGCCACGTAGGGAAGCATGGGTTTGGAACTGAGAGGCAACGACCGTTGTAGGCCACCTCTCAACTATGTGAATGACATTTAGAGACTGGGTACACTTGTGGGTGTACACTGGCTGAATTTCTTTCCTGCCTTGTCTGCAAATTGTCTCTTGTTCTATGCCTTCTTCCATGTTGCAGGTTTCTTCTCTTTCCAGGAGTCCACTGATTCCCTTGGTTGTTAAACCTCTTCCAGAAAAGTCCTGATGGACCATCTGGAACCAAAAGTTTACCCCATCGACCCAACAAGTGGATTAACAAAATGTGGTATATACATGTCATGTATTATTATTATTATAATTCAGCTTTAAAGATGAAGGAAATTCTCACACATGCTACAACATGAATGAACCATGAGGACATTATAGAAACCAGTCATTAAAAAAAAAAGAGAAATACTGTCTGATTCTGTTTATATGAGGTCTGTAGAGTAGTCAAATTTACAGAGACAGAAAATAGAATGCAGTTGCCAGGGGAAGCAGGGAGAGGAAATAGGAAGTTATTGTTGAATGGGTACAGAGTTTCAGTTTTGCAAGATGAAAAATGTTCTCAGTCAGTTAAGCCTCCAACTGTCATCAGTTCATGGGGTCAAGCTGCGCATCAGGCTCTGTGCTGACAATGTGGAGCCTGCTTGGAATTCTCTTCCTCTCTCCCTCTCTTTCTGCCCTTCTTCTGGATTGCATTCTCACGCTCTCTCATTCTCTCTCACAAAATAAAGAGGCTGAAAAGAAAAGAAAAGAAAAGAAAAGAAAAGAAAAGAAAAATGTCTGCAGATGGATGTTGGTGATGAATGTACTTTATGCCACAGAATGTACACTTAAACATGATTAAGATGGTTAATTTTAGAGCATGTGTATTTTCCACAGTGAAATATGTTTTTTTAAAAATATTTTTTATTTATTTCTAGGAGAGAGAGAGAGAGAGAGAGACAGCGTGAGCAGGGGAGGGTCAGGGAGAGAGGGAGTCACAGACTGAAACAGGCTCCAGGCTCTGAGCTGGCAGTCAGCACAGAGCCCGACGCGGGGCCCGAACCCATGAACCGCGAGATCATGACCTAAGCGAAAGTCGGACGCTTAACCGACTAAGCCACCCAGGTGCCCCGAAATATGTTTTAAAAGGACCAAAAACAAGGTTGCAGCTGGAAGGAACGGGTAGGTGGCCGCTGGCCTGGTGTGTCACGTCTGTACTTGGTGATTCATTCGTCAACTCAACTCGGTGAGCAGCATTTTCCAGGCCTCGCCTGGAAGTTCCAATGAGCCCGTGTCCCCATTTACCCTGCTGCACATTCTCCCGAGATGTACACGTCCAGAGGCAGCCCTCCCCCTCCATCAGTGGATGATAATTATAGCCAGTATCAACCCAGAATTTACAATGTGCCAGTCACGCGTGTTAACCAGAGCACACCTGTGTTGTAAAAGTCTGTTGTCATCTCTGTATTACTGATGAGGACACCAAAGCTCAGACAGATTGTGTAGGTCACTTACCTGCTGAGTGGAGAAGCCAGGACTGATGGAGGCTCCTGGACAGAGCCCGTGCCCTAATCCCTGTACTCTACCGCCCCCTAGTGGACCCTCGCCTCGCGTGTCTCACCAACACGATCCGAGCACCCGTTTCTCTCCCACTGGGTAACAGCATTTCGCAGGAGTTATTTCATGCTTCCGGTGCGGGGTAGACACCCGGGCAGGGCACGCCCCTCCTCTCAGCGCGGGCACCGCGCCGGCTGTGTACGCAAGTGGCAGAAGTGGCTGAGGTAGCTGCAGGCCTGGTGAGGCTCCCCAGGTCCTCACCTCCCGGCAAGAGCCCTGCTGGCTTCCGAGGCTTGTGGGGGATTGTCATGTGTTGCTTCCGAGGTTCCATCACTCCCTGCAGGAGCCTCCCTGGTAGGTTTTAGGGTTTTCCTAAGCTGTAAAGAACTGTAAAGAAACTCCTGGGTTGGGGGTGCCTGGCTGGCTCACTGCGAGGAGCATGCTACCCTTGATCTCAGTGTGGTGAGTTTGAGCAGCACAAGGAACGTAGCGATTACTCGCACAAATAAAACCTAAAAGGAAAAAAAAAAAAGTTCCTGGATTTCTATATCCCAGCCATACGAAGTGTTTTCAAGCCCACAACTCCCCAAGCTTCTCTCTTGATCTGAGTGGTCTGCGAGGGATTGTGTGCAGGGGTTCTATCCCTTGAGAAACGCTTTTTCTACACCACACAGGCCACTACTCCGTGCCTTCAGGATTTCTAGCTAGGTAAGCCCAGGTATCTCGGGTGAGCCCGTATCTTTTGTTGTTGGATCCAGGATTCAATTGAGGTTCGTTCACACATTGCATTTGGTTGTGATGTATGTTTAGTCTTTTTTAATCCAGAATAATCCCCCACCTTATTGTGTATTGTTTTGTCATGTGGAACTTTCTGGAAGAGTTCAGGTGACTTGCTTTAGATTGTCTCCTAGGCTGAATTTGTAGAATAGTTTCTTCATGATTGGATTCAGTTTAAATCTTTTTGGCAAGTTTACTTCGTAGATGACGTTTTGTGTTTATTGCCTCCTCTCACAAGGCACACAAACCTCATTTGAGAATGGCACACGACAATTATATAGTGACAGTGTGTCACATAGCAGGCTGAGAAGTCTGCTGTGCAATGAGTATGCACGGGTGCCATTGATATGATTGTGAGGTGACATAAAGAAAAAAAAAACCAGAATGGCAGGCTTGTCAATTGGAAATAGGTTTGTCTACACACAGCAGAAAATTCAGCTCACAGTAGCTACCAAATAGAGCTTTGGGTTTTGGTTTTGATTTTGATTTTGTTTTTTGCCCAGCTGCAAGTCTAGAGCTGATATGACAGCTTCACCACTTTCTCTCTCTCTCTCTCTGCCACCATTAGGGTGTTGCTTCTGTTTCCACGGATCCAAGATGGCTTCTGCCCCTCAGACATTTGACTTCCTTCTAGGCAGGAATGAGAAAAGGGGCAAACCTACTGATTCTGCTCTCCTTTGAAGGAGTTTTACCCAAAGCAGCACCCAGTGATTCTGCTCAAATCTCATTGGTTAGCACTGTGTCGCATCGTTGTCCGGGAACACTGTTACCAGGAATTAAAACAGGCAGCTTCTATTAGTAAGGCAGAAGGGGAGAATGGCTATTAGGTAGGCAATTGGCAGTCTTTGCCATGGAGAATAACAAAGATTTTTAATGGCTGGAGAGATAGTGACACAGATTAAACATGAGACTTTAAAAGTTCCTACCAACCTAGGGAAAACCTGATTGTTCTGTAGCCATGGTAACAAGTAGCCACCAGAACTGGTTTTATATGCACTCAATCGATCAATGACAACTTGACTCAGTGAACGTGTGTTTACAAGCTAACCAATTAGTTCAACCCCTATCTTATGCAAATAAGCCAATCAGAGATGGACTCACTTTAATAAACACACTTGAGTGCCAACCAACCAATAGTAACTCAGCCAGCAACCACACTTATCCAGATGATGGTAACCCACTTATGCCTCCAAAAGTCTCCCAATCCCCAAGCTCGTGTTCCCAAAACCCTATGTAAGTCGACACTGTACTCTGCACTGGGAGACCGAGCCAAGCCAGCATAGCCCTCCCTTGTTATATCAGCAATGAATTCAGCTTAGTTTTCCTACTTCAGATATTAAGTATGGTCCTGTTATAATAAAACCAGAATCATGCTTTTTAATTTGTTTGTATCCTCCATGGAGAACTCATTCCCCAAGCAAAGCCCTCACACATCTCCATCCATAGCCTTAGTGGACGAGGCCCTAAAGCATCCAGGGATGTCTGCATGTATCCAGCAACACAGGGTGATGGAGAAGGGTAAAACCATGACCCGGAGCGCCTCGCGTTGGGGAATCCCAGTGTTGACGGTTACAGGTGATCTGTCTGTTTAGAGAAGACCTCTTGGTTACTATTAAGAAACAGACGATAGAGGTGAACACTAGCTGAACAGCTTAGGGGAAGAGTAGTCACATGATGGTTTGGGGGCCAGTCTGCCTCCCCTCTGATCTACCTGCACCCCACCCCTAGCCTTGTATTTAATATTTTTTATTAATTATTTTTGAGAGAGAGGCAGAGACAGAGAGAGACAGAGTATGAGCGGGAGAGGGGCAGGGAGAGAGGGAGACCCAGAATCTGAAGCAGGCTCCAGGCTCTGAGCTGTCAGCACAGATCCCCATGAGGGGCTCGATCCATGAACCACGAGATCAAAACCTGGTCTGAAGTCATACGCTTAACCGACTGACTTAACTGACTTAACTACAGGTGCCCCTGTATTTAATACTTTTAAATTGTTACATTTGGGGGAAGGGGAATAACCTGTTGTTGTTGTAGTGGTGGTCATAAACTGCACCTAACATAACATTTACATTTTAACTCTTTTTATGTGTACAATGCAGTGGCATTAAGTATGTTCATAAGGCTGTGTAACAAATTCCACTATCCATTTCCAGACTTTTTCATCATCCTCAACAATAAAACTCTTGTACCTATTCAACACTAACTCTCCATTTCCTCCTCCCTCCAGCCCCTGGAAACCACTGTTATATGTTCTGTCTCTACACATTTGTCTATCTTAAGTACCTCATGTAAGTGGAATGACACAACATTTGTCTTTTTGTGTCTGGCTTATGACCCTTAGCATAGTATTTTCAAGGTTTATCCATGTTGGAGCATATATCAGAATTTCCTTCCTCTTAGGGCTAAAGAATAGTCCATTGTGTGGATATGCCACATTTTGTTTATCCATTTATCTTAATGATGAACCTTTGGGTTGTTTTCACCTTTTGGCTATTGTGAATATGGCTGCTATGAACATTTGTGTACAAGTATAAGTGTAACATTTTACATTTATAATAGCAACTACATAATCTCTCTCTTTTGCCTCTTGGCATTCCACGTCAAAAATAGTTACTCTCTGGCCCTCTCCAGGCAAAGTTTGCCAAGTCCTAGTGTAAGGGATGGGTTCAGGACAGAGAGCCACCCCGCCGTAGTCCATTCATAGTGGCTTGTTGAATAAGGAGGAGAGAAGAAGAGAAGAGCTGGTATTTGGTGGAAATGAGTGTGTGGGGTTAGTCTCTGTTAGGGCCGCCATAGCAAAGTACCACAGACTGGGGGACGTGAAACAACATTTCTTCCCTCCCAGTTCTGGAAGCTGGAAGCCAAAGATTAAGAGATCAGCAGGATTGGTTTCTTCTAGGGCCTCCCTCCTTGGTTTGTTGATGACCGTTTTGTCCCTGTATCTTCACATGGTCTTCCCCGTGTGTACCTGGGTTGTAATCTCCTGTTCTCACAAAGACGCAAGTCTTGTTGGGATTAGGACCTACCTTCATGACCTTATTCAGGCTCAATTACATCTTTAAAAGCCCGATCTCCAAATACAGCCACATTCTGAGCTCCTGGAGGTAGAGCTTCAACCCAAACATTTTGAGGGAACACAATTTAGCCTGTAAACAGGGCCCACACTCCACCTACGAAGTACCAGGCCTTTAAAAGACCAACACATTCTTGACTCAGTCTGGTAGTGATGATGTTGGAAGTGAGGAAAGATACACAGATGTACTCCTACCCTCATAAACTTTGGCTCAGAAACGGGGTAAGTCTGAGTCTGCTAGTGGAGAAAGCTCACTGCCATAAAGGTTTGCTGAGGACAAGTGCAAAGAACTTCATTTTGGACGGTATGTATTTTTATAGCATTTCCTAGATTTTTTTTTTCTTGTGACAATAAAGAGTACCAAAAAAAAAAAAAAAAAAAAAAAAAAAAAGGAAAGAAAATCCAGTATAATTTTAGCAGCAATTAACCTGAATTCATGGAGGAGTGCTTTTGCCCTGCTGTGACCTGGCTACGGTGAAGGTGTCCAGTCCAGGTTTTCTGCTGGGAATTCTGCTCCCAGACCTTCTCTGCCCTGAGAACATCATTACCACCCTCACCCCTGTCCATAGTTATCTCGTCTCTGTTCAAAAAGAATCATGACCAGAGGACACTTTAAAGGAACATGACCAGACACACTTTGGGGCCAAGTAGTGACCTTGTCACTCAGTGGAGGCAGCTGGGGCCAAACTCGTGTCACATTTTGCTTTCTTCTGTTTGGCTCAGAGGCAGAAAATACTACAGTTTCTGACCTATGACATGAAAAAAAACACACACAAAAAACCCAGCCCACAGGTCCCCACACTTCAAGCCCCCACTGACAGAACAAGAATAGACACTTTGAAATGTTTAGAACAAAAATTTTCACACGGACTGACCTTGTTTCCTTTTAGGACGCTGGAGCAGATTCTGGTCAGATGAAGCAGCAGCGATAAAAGATCCAATTGCAAGAACTATAATAAGACAATCCTTTTGAAGTACTGTAAAACCGGCAAATATCTCCAGTGCCCTCAAAACTGGTTTGGAAAAAGTAGAATGGTTTGGTTCTTAAAGAACCACTTAGAAGAAGCTACTTAGCTCCAAACTAGATTTAAGTACAGTGGGTTAGATATTAAACATAAAAGGTTCAGGGGCACCTGGTTGGCTCAGTCGGAAGAGCATGTGACTCTAGATCTCCGAGTTGTGAGTTCGAGCCCCTCGTTGGGCGTAGAGATTACATACACACCTATGTACAAATAAACTTACAAAATCAAAATAAAAGATTCAGGCAGCCAATGTGTAATTTCAGACACCTAAGGCCATTAGCACACTGTTCATTCCACTTAGATGAGCAATGCACTCCTTTCCTGAATATCCTTTAGGCTCTGTTTCCTGTAACAGCTGTTTTCAGCAGGATTCCTCATTTCCTTCTTTAGATATGTTTTCTCAGACCTTCCTTTTCTCACCAGTTTTTCCTAGTTGCGACCTCCTTTGCTTCTGTCCACTTTCACATTCTATATTGTCTCCTATTTGGACCTTGCATCCCCTATGGAAGGCAGTACCAATGCCTCCAGAAGTTAGTCCTAGAACTAGAAGCTGGTGCATCACTGGGGCTGATCTAGGTCTAACCTACGGAGGAGGGGTGGTGGTCTCTCACCTTGTCAGGTGACTTTATCCAGTGCCCGGCACATAGTTTGGGTTTGCGCTCAGTAAGGTTAGATTCCGTTACTGCGGAGACAGGCTGGACCTAGCAAGACGTTAGTGGGTGTCAGTGGAGATGAAAAGGTAACTAAATGCAGGAAATACCAGGAATATAAATACAGTCTGTCTTAGAAATAATCTCTAGGGTGCCTGAGTGTTTCAGTAGGTTAAGTGTCTGACTCTTGATTTCGGCTCAGGTCATGATCTCATAGTTTCTTGGGTTTGAGCCCTACATCAGGCTCCCCATTGAGCATGAAGCCTGCATGGGATTCTCTCTCTCTGCCCCTCCTCCACACTCTGTCTCTCTCAAAATAAATAAATAAATAAACTTTTAAAAAAGATCATGGTCTATTTTCTTGCACGAAGACTGCTACCCACTCAGCCTTGCTACTACTATTATTGCATCAATAATATGAATATACAATTCTAAATATACAATACAATTATATAATATACACTCTCATTGAAGGCCATCTCCTTCACTTTTGAATTGTATCTCATCATTTGTCAACTATTCAAGAACAGATGTGGTTGTTAATAGTCTCTCCTGAAAGAACTATTTTCACTTCTTTTTTTTTTAATGTTTATTTATTTTTGAGAGAGAGAGAGGGAGGGAGAGACAGAGCACGAGCAAGGGAAGGGCAGAGGCAGAGGAAGACACAGAATCTGAAGCAGGCTCCAGGCTCTGAGCTGTCAGCACAGAGCCCGACACAGGGCTCGAACTCACAAACTGTGAGATCATGACCTGAGCCGAAGTCAGACACTTAACTGACTGAGCTACCCAGGCGCCCCTATTTTCACTTCTTTTTAGATGCTTTAAAAATATTTTGTCCAAGAATATATATCTTTTTATTCTTCTCCTGCTTTCCCATCATATTTCTGTTCCCCATGATGAAGAATGTCAGACTGGCTGCTACTTGCTTTGCCCATTTCTTCATCTCCCATCCTCTCTTCAGTCCATTCCAGGTGAGCTTTTGACCCATGCTCACTGGAATTGTGCTCAGTCGAGTCATTAGTGACATCTACATGGCAAGATCCAATAGTCAGTCCTTTGTCCTTAGCACGGTTGACCTCTTAGCAACTTTGGACATTCATTCTTCTTTTTAAAAAATAAAATTATTGGGGCACCTGGGTGGCTCAGTCGGTTAAGGGTCCAACTTTGGCTCAGGTTATGATCTCACAGTTGGTGAGTTCTAGCCTAGAGCCTGCTTTGGATCCTCCGTCTCTGCCTCTCTCTGCCTTGGTTTGTTAGTTCAAGCCCCATGTCGGGCTCTGTGCTGACAGCTCAGAGCCTGGAGCCTGCTTCAGATTCTGTGTCTCCTTCTCTCTCTGCCCCTCCCCTACTCATACTCTGTCTCTCTCTCTTGAAAATAAATAAAACATTCAAAAAAACATTGTGCAAACAAAATAAAAATGACAAAATAATGATCATGACATTTTCCATGCATTCAGAAAAAATAAAGATTACTATAATACACACCAGTGTGCCCATCAGTCAGCTTCTAAAGCAGAACATTTCCACTAGAAGCTCCTGTGTGTCTTTCTCTGATTGTTTATCCCTACCTACCCCCTGGACATAACCACTTTCCTTTTGAGATTATTATTCCCTTGCTATCCTACATTGTTTTGCTAGGTACATATATCTCTAACAATGTATTAGTTTTAGTTTTATAAACTTTACAGAAGTGGAAACTTAGTGCACATATTTCGGTGATTAGTTTTTTTCTCTCAACATTGTGTTTATGAGATTTATTCACGATGCTACATGTAAGCTTGTTTACACCGCTATGCCGTGTTCCAGCGCATGCTGTATTATATCTATTGCTATATGACAAATTACTTTATAATTTAGCAGCTCAAAACAAGAATAAACAGTTTCTGTAGGTCAGGAATTAAGGAGAATCTCAGCTGAGTTGTGCCACTACAGGGTCTTTCGGGAGGTTACAGTCAACATATTGGCTAAGTATGTAGTTATCTGGAGGCTTGATGTGGGCTGAGGATTCATTTCCAGGATGGCTCACTCACAAGACTGAGGATGGTGCTGGTTGTTGGAAAGAGATCTCAGCTCCTAGCTGTGTGGATATCTCCATAGGGCTGCTTGAGTATCCTTATAACATAGCACCTGGCTTCCTCCAGAGAGAACGAACCAAGCAAGCAAGGGAGAAGTCACAATGACTCTTATGACCTAGTCTTGGAAGCCACACACCATCATTTCTGAAATATCCCATTGGTTATGTAGCTCAGTTCTAGTCAGTGTGGGAGGGAACCACAGAGTACATAAATACCAGGAAGAGACATTGGAGGTGCCCCAGAAGCTGGCTACCACAATGACCATGTCAGAATCGATCTGTTCTCTTGCTAATGCCATTAACGTTATTTCCATTTTATTTTATTTTATTTTATTTTATTTGTTTGCTAGTACAAACACAAATGGTATGATCATTCTTCTTCAGGATTTCTGGTGCCCATGGGCAACAGTTTCTCTAGAGAAACACTGCTGGGCCATAGGGAATGTGCATCTTCAAATTTATTAGAAAATACCAAATTGCTTCAAAACTGCCCCAAAGTAGTTACCAATTTATACTCTCACCAGTAAATAATATTTCCCATGCTCTATATCCTTGTCAATACTTGGTATCATTAGATTTTAAAAATTTATGCCAGTATGGGGGTGTAAAATGATATATTTTGCAGATTAAAATTTGCATTTTTCTACATCATTAATGAAGTCAAACATCTTTTCATATGTTTATTGCCTATTCAGGTGGCTGCTGTTGCTGCTGCTGCTTCTTCTTCTTCTTCTCCTTCTTCTTTTAAAGTTTATTTATTCATTTTTGAGAGAGAGAGAGTACAAGCAGGAGAGGGGCAGAGAGAGAGGGAAACAAAATCTGAAGTAGGTTCCAGGCTCTGAGCTGTCAGCACAGAGCCTGACTCTCGGGACTCAAACTCATGAGCCCTGAGATCATGACCTGAGCTGAAGTTGTTCTCTTAACTGACTGAGACACCCAGACGCCCCATTCAGACTTCTTCTAATGCAAAATGCCTATTTATGTCATCAGCCCATTTTTCCATGGGTTTTGTGTCACTGTCGTATTAATCTGTAGGAGTTTTTTTTTAATATATATTCTAAATTATTAAGAAGCTTTTGGTGCTTATATATACTGCAAATACCTCCTCCCTGATTATGCTTTATCTTTTTACTTTTTAATATTGGTTTTCAATGAATATGGGGTGTTTGGGTGGCTTAGTCAGTTAAGCGTCTGACTTCGGCTCAGGTCATGATCTCATGCTTCAAGGGTTTGAGCCCCATGTCGGGCTCTGTGCTGACAGCTCAGAGCCTGGAGCCTGCTTAGATTCTGTGTCTCCCTCTCTCTCTCTCCCCCTCCCCAGCTCAGGCTCTGTCTCTGAAAAATAAAGGTTAAAATTTTAAAAAATATATTGGTTTTTGATGAATAGAAATTTAAAATTTATTCATTTTTTCCCTCTGCGGTATGTGCTATTTATGTCTTTTTTTTTTTTTTAAAGACATTCCTTCATTGCTGAGGTCATAAAAATATTTGTCTATGCTTCCTTCAAAAAGTTTTTAAGGTTTGCTTTTCACAAGTAGGCTCCATAACCAGCATGGAGCCCAATGCCGGTCTTGAACTCACAACCCTAAGATCAAGACCTGAGCTGAGATCAAGAGTCAGACATATAACCAACTCATCCACCCAGGCCCCCCATGCAGGTCTTTAATCCGAGTGGAACCTGTTTTTGTAGGTTAAGGGAAGTAAGGATTTGATTATAATATTTGTTTCTGTGTAAATAACCACTTGCTCAAGCTTCTTTCTGAAAACACTTTCTTCACTTAGCTTCAGGGACACCACGCATTCCCCATCTTCCTCCCACCGGCATCAGTGCTTCTTGGTCTTCATTGCTGGCTCTTCTTCCTCTCTGCAGTCTCTAACTGATGGAGTGACCCTGGAGTACCCCTCTCCTCTTGTCTATCTAAATTTCTCTCAGTATTCTCTCTCTGGATAATCTCATCCAAGTCCATGGCTATAAATAACATAGCCATGGATGCTGGACACTCCCAAGTTCCTATCCTTACCCTCTTCCTCCATAATCGCCACATGGCTCACTCCTTCCCATCTCCCGGGGTTCCCATCAATGTCACCTCCTCAGAGAGTTCTTCCCTGACCATATGAGACAAAATATCATCACCTGTAACTCTCTGTATACTTACCTTGCTTTAGTTTATATCAACATATCATCAGTTACCTGTAGACCTCGTATTAGAAGTCTATCTGATACCATCCGTCCAGCAGTCAAGTATATATGTCATGGGCTTTGAACTGTTTGCTGGTGCATCCAAAAATCTAGGCGCAGTGCCTGGTGCATTATAGATGCACAAGAAACACTTGTAGTAAAAGAAACAATGATAATCATTTAATACAGCACCGCATAGCCTGCGAGGATCATTTGCATAGATCATGTTCTCCTAGTCTCAATTGAATCTTCAGAGAGATGGTTTTCCCTGTATCTGTGAATATCAGCAATAATCTCTCTTCCTTCAAAGGTATCTTAAAATTTTTTACTCGGAATACTTAACGTTGTTCCCAGTTCTACGTGTTATTAGGTGTGTGACTCTCACTGGGGGAGATTGAACCATAACATCTCATCGATGACTTCAGGCCATGACAGCTGTCATTCAGCTTTTTCACACACACAGGATGTAGTTCTAAGAAAGACACAAGCAATTCAAACGAAGGCACCTTCAAAGGTGTTTGAATGTTAAATCTAAAAAAATCCAGGACTATTAGATTAGTGGCTCTCAGTAATTTCTTTTCAGCCAGAATACAAGCCTGTGGGCTGCTCTGATTTTTATACAGCCATAAACAGTTTTGCTGGAAGCAAAACACTATGGTATTAGAATAATACTACAGAACATTTTTATTCACTACAACTGCCAGAATCACATTCCACATTTACACACAGGGTTACCTAGCAGGCCTGGGCTTCGCTTCAAAGCCCCTCCAGGAGATGTCCAGACAATATCCAGACTGCTATCCACCTTACATTATTGTTAAGCCAGTAAATTTACGCAGCTAACCCATAAAAATACACATGTGGCAGGCTTGAGCCGCCAGAGAAATTTATTCACTTACTATGTCTATTGAGGGTTTTGGAACCTAATATGCAAGAATTTGGTCACTTCGGTTAAATTACCAGTTCACACTCTGACTCATTCCACAGCACAAATAGAACGTATTTGTGTGTATCTCTCCCTGAGGACACAAAAAGGGAGCCTGAGGCTGATATTAAAATAGATTTCTCATTTTCTGAGAACTTACTGTGCTGTTTCTGTTATCGACGGTTCAGGCGCTGTGGGTGCTGACAGCTCACCATCTCCAAGCGCTCTTTCAAGACAACGTGGGAAAGACAATGCACTTTGCAGGGAGGGAGTGAAACTTTAAGCCCTGTTGACAGAGCTGTCGAAGGTGGGTGACAAACTGTAAAACAGGGAGCCCTGAACAGTCCAAGCTTATCGGCAACACATCGAACTATCCTCACAGAAATCTCGGGCAGAGGTGGGTGGGGTTAATGACACTCATGGACAGTGAAACAGAAACTGAATCAAGAGGAGCAGCCTGTCTGGAGGTGCAAAAGAAGCGCGACACCAATCTTAAATAAATTCCAAAACAGCAGCTGCATGTAGTGGTCTGGACATTCGAGGTTCAGATATGAGATACATGTCACCTGGAAAGTCTCAGGAGTGACTTCATCAGATTCTAAGAGGCGTAAAGGACATTAGTCAGGAGATGCTCATGTACCTGCTGTAACATGTAATCACCAAAGTTAACTGGCTTCAGCACAGAAGAGTCACAACCCATGATGGGCAGGTGTGGCCAAGAAGCTCTGTTCCACATGGTCACTCAAGGACTCAGATGACCCTTGTCTTCTGGAGCCCTAGAGTTCTCAGAAGATTCTCTGCATCCTGCCAACAGACAAGGGGAGAGAGACAGGGGATCTGAAGAGGGATTAGGGACCACATTCTACTGGCCAAGACGAGTTGCATGACCACCTCTAGACAGCGGGGGCTTGGGAAGTGGCAGTCTAGCTGTGTGACCAGGAAGGAGAGGATTAGGAAGTGAGCACTAGCAGCCTCCGGTACAAACTCTTGAAAGAATAAGACTCAATTTTGGAAACAAGCTTGTTAAGTTTGAGAAAAGCCAAAAAACAAAAAAACAAAAAAACAAAAAACAAAAACAAAGGACTGAACCTCAACACAGAATCAGTAAGAGGTTATATGTTGAATTCGAGTAATGCTGTCTTCTTTCAAAAATGTTCTTTGGGCCACCACTTTTGGAATTTCCTTCAGAAGCAGCACAGAAATTCAATTCTACCTCATCACCCTGGTATAAGCCAGTCCTCAAAAGATTGAATGTATCCACCCTGTGACTGATATCCATCAATTTGATTTTTGCTTCTGAAGAAAATGCCTTGAATTGCTTCGATTTTACATAGTCAGAAAGTATAAATAAAATAATTTTTGGGTCACCTGGGTGGCTCAGTTGTTTGAGCATCTGACTTTGGCCCAGGTCATGATCTCATGGTTCATGTGTTCGAGTCCCACGTCAGTCTCTCTGCCATCAGTGTGAAGCCCGCTTTGGATCCTCAGTCTCCCTCTCTCTTTGCCCCTCCCCAACTTGTACACATGCTCTCTCAAAAATAAATAAACATAAAAAAAATCTCTGCAAGGTGTGGATAAATAAAGATAGATTAATCTTCTGGGAATTAATCTTTATTCTTTTTTTTTTAATGTTTTATTTATTTCTAGGAGAGAGAGAGACAGCGTGAGCAGGGGAGGGTCAGAGAGAGAGGGAGTCACAGACTGAAACAGGCTCCAGGCTCTGAGCTGACAGTCAGCACAGAGCCCGACGCGGGGCTTGAACCCACGAACCGCGAGATCATGACCTAAGCGAAAGTCGGACACTTAACCGACTAAGCCACCCAGGCGCCCCAATCTTTATTCTTTGAAAGGAAATCTGCAGCGGGATGTCAGCAACATAGTGGAATAGGAGTTTTCCACTGTCTTCCCCCTGAGGAATAGCAATTTTGACAGCTGCCCCTGGATGCGATTGCTT